CCCTACCCCGCCCCGCCGGAAGCTGGAGTCCGCAGGCCGGAAGCTCCGGCCGCAGGTCGCCCGCGCGCGCCCGCCCCGCCCCCGCCTTGCGCAACCCAAGACCGCAAGAGGGCGGCCTGCGCGAGCCTAGAAAGACCACCGCGCCGCCGGGGCCCTCTGCGCCCTGGCCGGGTCAACGACACCCTCCCGCCAGCTGAGGGCCACCCGTGGCCAGGGGGGTTCACTTACGAGAGCTATGGTCGCCGTCGCCATCTTGCGTCCGTCGCGGCCGCCGCGCGCGCCACAAGCTCCTGCTCCCTCTGCAGTCTCGCGCGATCTGGGTACCAGTGGCTAGAACTCTCGCGAGAAAAGACCTTTCGCCCGCTACGTGGAAAAAAAGAATGCGCTTCCGGGATGGAGAGGGACAGTTAACGCCCCCAGGAGGGGAGGGCGGAAGGGGTGGTGCAGGCATAGGCTGGGTCGGCGCGGGCGGGACAGGGGCGGGGCTGAGTTCTCTGACGTTTGTGGGCTTCTTGACCCTGCTGCTCCTCCCGCTGCCGCATCTCTGCGTGTTTTACGAAAAACTAGTCTCAGGCGTTGTGCACTGGTGCTCACCAAGGAGGCAGGAAAAAGAGCGGCCATCCCCCCGGGACCCGTCTACACAGACTGTCCCGAGTTACAGGTCACAAAAGAACCGCTTCTTCATAGTCAGACTTCCAGATGCATCGTCATGTCAGCCCTGAAATCAGCCGTCCTCATTTAATTGGTAGCGTTTTCTCCGTTTTCTTCTTCCTAGTGATTCATGAAACAGTAGCGCGTCTGACATCTGACAGCGTGGTAGTCCTTGAACCTGCTCTCAAGGTCCGTCCGTGCTACTGGAAGAGCTGCCCTGGACACTTGCTAGACGCTGCACCTAGTCCTAGGACCCCAACTCAGCTACCCCCCAAGAAGAAACTACATCTGTCAGCTCAGGCATCTTGCGTTGTCTGAGGAAACAAAATATTATCTGGGCGGGCCTCTTTCAACCCTGGAAAAGTTTAGAATTCAGTCTGGACAGCTGTAGTTAAATATGGCAATATATTTTCCTCCTCTCCATCCTGAAACCCGTCTAAAATGATAGGAAATTTTTCTAAAGGCAAAAGCTGTGAGGGCAAAGAAGCGGAATTTTGTGGAGCTGGAAGAAGGTGGGAGGTGGCAGCTGCTTTAGCCCTTTGGGCTGTAGAGACCAGTGTCTGATGGGTGGTGTGTGGAAGCACACCTGGAAAAAGGAGACCCCAAACATCTATGCTTATGTGCTGAGGCTGGCAGGCACTCTTCTTGTCCAGGAGAGGAGTTTTGAGGCCTGGTTAATAGGCAAGACCTTGTTTGAAAATGGGGAAGTAGTTGAGACTCCTGCTCCTCCCCTCACCTCTGTTATTGGCTGAGTCTGGCCTCTCACGGGTATCACCCAGGCTCCTCTCTGAAGCAACTACCAGCTCAAATGAAAAGACTAGCAGCTGGGTACAGGAGCAGGGGGTGCCTTAGAATGGCCCAGACACATCTCTGACCTCAGAGCTCACCAGGCCACAAGCCCCAGGCCCTAAGAGCATCTCTTAAATGCAACTAAATGCCCAAGATCACCAGATACCTGAGGAAGAAGAAAAGGGCCTTAGAGGATAGGGTGGTGGGTCATGCCTGTAATCCTAACACTCTGGAGGAGGCAGAATTACTTGAGGACAGGAGTTCAAGACCACCCTGAGCAAGAACAAGACCCCCATCTTTACAAAAAACTAGAAAAAGTATCTAGGTGTTGTGGTGGGCACCTGTAGTCTCAGCTACTCAGGAGGTTGAGGCAGGATGATGCTTGAGCCCAAGAGCTTGAGGTTCCTGTGAACTGTGACAATGCCATTGCACTATAGCCTGGTTGACAGAGTGAGACATGTCTCAATAAAAAGGCTCGGTGCCTGTGGCTCAAGCGGCTAAGGCGCCCCCACCACCACCACATACACCTGAGCTGGCAGATTCGACTCCAACCCGGACCCACCAAACAACAATGACGGCTGCAACCAAAAAATAGCTGGGTGTTGTGGTGGGCGCCTGTAGTCCTAGCTACTTGGGAGGTGGAGACAGGAGAATTGCTTGAGCCCAGGAGTTGGAGGTTGTTGTGAGCTGTGATGTCACATCACTCTACCCAGGGGGACAGCTTGAGGCTCTGTCTCAAAAAAAAAAAGAAAGAAAAAAGAGGGTGGCGCCTGTGGCTCAGTGGGTAGGGTGCCACCCCATATACCAAGGGTGGCGGGTTCAAATCTGGCCCTGGCCAAACTGCAATGAAAAAATAGCTGGGTATAGTGGTGAGTGCATGTAGTCCCAGTTACTCAGGAGGCTGAGACAAGAGAATCGTCTAACCCCAGTTGGAGGTTGCTGTGAGCTGTGTGACACCATAGCATTCTACCCAGGGCGATAAAGTGAGACTCTTGTCTCTACCAAAAAAAAAAAAAAAAAAAAAGAAAGAAAGAAAGAAGGAAAGAAAAGAAAGAAACAAAAGGAAAAGAAACAGCATTCAGAAGGAACAGAGACAATAAAGGAAGAGGAAGAGAGGAGGAAAGCTACAGCTACAACCACAACCTTAGCAATATTAGGAGTGTTGCATCCAAACCCAAGAACAGTAAGCTACAGAGAGAACATTCAGGGAATGAAAGATAACTCTTTTTTTTTAAAAGACAGTCTCACTTTATCGCCCTTGGTAGGTGCCGTGGTGTCATGGCTCACAGCAACCTCCAACTCCTGGGCTTAGGCGATTCTCTTGCCTCAGCCTCCCTAGTAGCTGGGACTACAGGCGCAGGCCACAACGCCTGGCTATTTTTTTGTTACAGTTTGGCTGGGACCGGGTTCAAACCCGCCACCCTTGGTATATGGGGTGGGCGCCCTACCCACTGAGCCACAGGCGCCGCCCAAAAGAGAAGTCTTAGAAATTAAAAGTATGGGAGTAAACTAAATGATTCAATAATCTTGAACAAGAAAATTGAAGTCTTCCAGAACGTGTAACAAAACTAGATAGCTAACCAATAGAAAATGTGAGTCATCACATGAGTCAGTGCTCTCAGGTGCACACCAGAGGCCGCCACTTCGAAGGGAATGGTTGAGGGTGGGAGCAGGGACCATAAGCAACACCCTCTGCTGTCAGTTCCTCTTGGCAATGATGTGTAATGCCGCACTCTTGGCACTTGGTGCCAGGCACTGCTCTTACTTCACACACACGTCGCCTCATGCAGTTCTTACAATAGCCCTGTGCTATGCTGTGGGTAGTGCACAAACCATTTTTACAGATGAGGACGTGCAACACCACACAGCAGGGAGCAACAGAAGGGCTCCAGACCCTGAGCTAACCAGCGCTCATTGCACCCCTCAAAAAGATAAGCCCAACATGTGAATAAACTGTCCAGAAAATAAGGGGAAAAAATCAGGAACGAAATAATTCAAGAAAATTTCCTAGAATTGAAGGGTCAGGGTTTCTGGACAATGAATGAAAAACAAGTTGTGCATCAAGACGTCATTGAAAATTTCTAACACAATCGGCCAAAGAAAGAGAGGCAAAGGGTCAGAATTCAGAAAAACATGAACATTCTTAGAACTAGAAAAAAATGACGTGATTCTCTCAAAATCTTTGGGAGAAATGATTTTCAACCATGTCAAGCTCTTTGTATCTAGTTACACTTTCAAGCGCGTGTGAGATTAGAATAAAGACAAATAGGCAAAGACTTTATAACTTCCCATGCATTCTATCTGAAGAAACTTGGCAGTTGTTCCTCCTCAGATGGGCAAATGAGGGAAGACGAAAGCATGAGATCCAGAGCCCAGAGAAGGAAGTGATCTAGGATTGGGGAAGGGATGACCCATGTTGACATCTGGGCCACAGTTACAAGAGCAAGCAGACTGGGGCAGAGCAATCACATGTTAGAGGGCTTCAGGAAAAGAAGAAACTGAGTGTTCAATTAGGTGATGTGTCCTAAAATTTGACAGGAAGCTCACACTTCTGCAGTGACATCTAGAACACATATAGAAAACTGAGCGGCTCGGCACCTATAGCTCAACCGGCTAAGGCGCTAGCGACGTACACCTGAGGTGGTGGGTTCGAATCCCCAGCCTGGACCCGCCAAAACAACAATGACGGCTGCAACCAAAAAATAGCCGG